TATTGAATGGTGTGTTGATATGTTTTCTTTTCTCAGCGGGTGTTGCTACTCGTGAAAGTATGGAAAATGTATTGAAACCTTATATGGAAGCGTATATATACACATATATATATATATATATATGTATGTAAATATAATATATGTTAGCTAGTGTGTCTTAGTTGTTGCCTATGTTGGTATGTTTCCTTATCTGGGCCGGCGTTGCAAATCCTTATATGAATTTATTGAAAATCCACAAAACAATGTATGAGACAACATATGTTTTCAGTTTCTTTTTTGTTGCTATTGCTTGATATGTTTCCTTCTCTGAGCTGGCGTTGCAAATATGGAAAACATCTAGATATACACATATGTACAGCGATTTCTCATATTGATGGTATTTGTTGATATGGCTCCTGGCCTCACTCGGCGTTGCAAATCATGAGATATGGACAAGAATGAAAAATGTTTAGAAACATAATTTTCTCGTTTTTTGTATGTTTGCTAGTTTTCTTGTTCTGAGCCGACGTTGCACATAATGGACAGTTGGAGAAGTTATATATACACGCATCGAAAATGATGAACGTATGTATGTTTAGTTGTTGCCCCCCTTATCTCTTGCTACAGGATATCATTACGTTTCTGAATTGGCGTTGATAGCAACGAGAATAACATTATGAAAGTGCATAAAATCAAATATATATATATATATATATATATATAGCTATGTGCTAATTTGCTCTGCGAGTGCTTGATAGTTGGCCGTTCCTTTCCTGAGCCACAGCTGCAACTAATGAAAACATGGAAAAGTATGGACATCCATGAAGCGTAAAGTTTTAGTTGTGCTGTGCCAGTGCTGTGGCTATGTTTTGGTAGTTCTCCTTTTCTGAGGCGGCGTTGCAAACAATGAAAAGATGGAAAATATGGAATGTAAATGAAAGTGATTGTTTTTGGCTGATATACATATATATATATATATATATATATATATATATATGATATGATATGATAGGTGCCCGTTTCCGAGCCATCCCTATTTTCTTGTAACAGAAATTCGCCAGCGCGCGCCAGACTGTCTGAGATTCCAGAGGATATAACCTCTGCCCTCCTCCTCCGCCTCCTCCTGCAGCTGCTGCTACTGCTCCTGGTCCTCCTCCTCCTCCTTCCTCCTCCGTCAAACCTCGACCTTCGGACGTCTCTCGGGGGCGCGATTTGGACTGAATCTTGCGAAGAATCCACCCCTGGCGACGAACAGCTTCCCAGAATCCCACAGAACGTCCAGAACGTTGTCCGAAGTTCGAAGTTCCTCGTCCCTTCTCTCCCCCCTCTCCCCCTCTGTAGGAGCACGAGGAGGAGGCGGAAGAGGAGGCGGAGGCGGATGAGGAGGCGAAGGCGGAGGCAGATGAGGAAGCGGAAGCGGGGGCGGAGAATAATGAGGAGGAGTTTGACGGATAAGCATGATGATGTTGATGATGGTGATGATGATGATGATGATGCTGATGATGATGGTGTTGGTGATGATGATGATGATAACAATGATGATGATTGTGATGATGATGACGGCGATGGTGCTGGTGCTGGTGCTGGTGATGATGATGATGATGATGATGATGATGAGGATGAGGATGATGATGATGATGATGATCATGATGGTGACGACGACGATGATTATGATGAGGAGGAGGAGGACGACGACGACGGCGAGAAGGAAGGATGAGGAGGAGGAGGGCAGGAGGAGGAGGAGGAGGAGAAGGAGGAGCTCAAGGTCCAACAGTCTCGTCCCCCGAGGTTCGAGACTTCTCCCCGCCCCCTCCCCACATCTGGAGGACGGTGGCGGCAGGCGCTCTCCCTGCTCGGCGAGATGCGGGGCGCGGAGATGGAGCCCGACGGCAGCCCAAACCTCCGAAGAGAGTTTCCCCTCGCTTGTCTGGCCTGGCGTTTCCTCGACGGCTTCCGGCGAGCTGCCTTGGCTTCGAGAGCTCGAAGAAGAGGAGGAAATAATAAGTATAGTAAGAATGGCATCGAAGATGATGAGGATGATGATGATAATTCAGACATACATACATATTGCGAGTACTAAGAGTAGTAGTCGTGATAGTAGTAGTAGTAGTAGTAGTAGTAGTAGTAGTAGTAGTAGTAGTAGTAGTAGTAGTAGTAGTAGTAGTAGTAGTAGTAGTAGTAGTAGTAGTAGTAGTAGTAGTAGTAGTAGTAGTAGTAGTAGTAGTAGTAGTAGTAGTAGTAGTAGTAGTAGTAGTAGTGGTAGTAGTAGTAGTAGTAGTCTAGTAGTAGTAGTAGTAGTAGTAGTAGTAGTAGTAGTAGTAGTAGTAGTAGTAGTAGTAGTAGTAGTAGTAGTAGTAGTAGTAGTAGTGGTAGTAGTAGTAGTAGTAGTAGTAGTAGTAGTAGTAGTAGTAGTAGTAGTAGTAGTAGTAGTAGTAGTAGTAGTAGTAGTAGTAGTAGTAGTAGTAGTAGTAGCAGCAGTAGTAGTAGTAGTAGCAGTAGTAGTGGTTGTGGTAGCAGTAGTAGTAGTACTATAAGTAGTAGTAGCAGCAGAAGTGGTAGTAGCAGTAGCAGCAGTAGTAGTAGCAGTAGTAGTAGTAGTAGTAGTAGTAGAAGTAGTAGTCGTAGTAGTAGTAGTCGTAGTCGCGTAGTCGTGGTAGTAGTTGTAGTGGTAGTGGTAGTAGCAGTAGTAGTAGTAGCAGCAGCAGCAGTAGTAGTAGTAGTGGTAGTGGTAGTAGTCGTAGTCGTAGTCGTAGTCGTAGTAGTAGTAGTAGTAGTAGTAGTAGTAGTAGTAGTAGTAGTAGTAGTAGTAGTATAGTAGTAGTAGTAGTAGTAGTAGTAGTAGTAGTAGTAGTAGTAGTAGTATTATAGTAGTAGTAGTAGTAGTAGTAGTAGTAGTAGTAGTAGTAGTAGTAGTAGTAGTAGTAGTAGTAGTAGTAGTAGTAGTAGTAGTAGTAGTAGTAGTAGTAGTAGTAGTAGTAGTAGTAGTAGTAGTAGTAGTAGTAGTAGTAGCAGTAGTAGTAAACATACTACTACTGTTACGAACCGTAATGATACTAAAACAAAAAATGCGAGTTGTAGCAATAGGTAGTAACATTCTCAACTAGATTAAGCGCTATAGCAATAATAACACGAACATAGGAATACCATTCATGATACTGAAATAATCGCAGTCGTGATGTTATGGTTGATACTACGAGCAAGAAGAAACATAACACGACTAAGAGTAATAAGAGGAAGAAGAAGAAACACAACAACATATGCATGAACGTGGCACGTCGGAGGTCCGCGCGGATTTCTGGGGTCGGGGCTGGACCCTCTCGCGGCTTGCGCCCCGCACAGGGTCTTCCACGCACGGCCCCAGTGAGGGCGTTCTCGCAGCGCCCCCCCCCCCCGCCACTGTCGGCGCACACCCCTCACGCGGACCGCGCCTCGCATGGCGTGCGGCGCGCCTCCGCGCGCTTGCTCCCCGCAACTCCCTAACTTAGCACCGCCCCGCGGTGCGCGGCACGGGTATGCGAGCAGAGGGCTTTGGCACCACCTTTCGCATGCCTCACCGTCTCGCTCTGGTGTTGTGGCTGCGACCTGCCCTGGACCGCTCGATTGCACAGTCTGTGCCCCTGAACTGTCCGTTTGGCAGTGGCTGCGTCGTGAGCGTGCGCCTCCTCCTGGGAACCTTGAGAAAAGGTCTACGCGATCCGAGGGTTCCCGGGCTGTCCCGCGGCCGTCCTTCTCCTCGCCCCGGGCCCGCCTGCGCCCCTGCGCCCCGATTCGCAACGGATGCGCCCCGCCGTTTGCTTAACCGCTTGTCCGGCCCAGCTCGCCACAGACCAGAACAGCGGCGAGGAGACGGCCCCGCCCCGGCCCCGTCCCGCCCCGCGAGCTGCCGCACAGCGTCGGGCTTTCCGTGGGGGCTGAATCTATGGGGCCCCCCGCGAGGGCGAGAAGATGACCGCGCCTCGCGCCCGCACGGCCCGGGGTGGAGGGGCGCTCGTTTCCGGGGCAGCTGCGCGATGGTGGAGAACCGCGGGCCGCGCATCGTGGGTCGCGACGCGCGAAGCTGGGTGATTGTAGATGAGTTCAAGACGATGTCCCCCAACGGTCGGACCGAGGTATAAGATCGAGGTCAGTTCGGGGAGGGCACCCTAATGTTCTTCGTGTTTGTTGGATTTTCTTGTGTATCCTGCGGAGGGTACCCTTGGATGTTCTGTGTGTCTTGGCTTGCGGAGGGTCTCAGATTCTTGAAGGATGTTATTATGTCCTAGGTCCGACTGTAGCGTCTGATGGCAACCGCCAGTCGGCGCAGAGAGCCCGCAGCCCAAAAGTGGGCCCAGGACCGCCTCCAGAGCCCAGGAAACATTGGAGGGGCCCCGTGAGCCCACGAGCCGAGTCTGACCTTGCTCCAGGGCGACCCTTTGAACAACTGCAATTTCCCCACGCGGCCTTCGGGGTGACACGTGCCACCCCCATGTGTGTTTTCGCTGCATGACTCCGCGTTGGCGTGCAGATTTCATTGAAGCGAAGCTTTTCTTCCACACGGTTTTTGGGGTTACACTCGGCACCCGGTGTTTTCTCAAACCATGCACGGCCGCATCACCCGCAAAGAGGGAATTTCAGACCCCCAGAGGTTCTTGGCGTGGTTCCGACATGCCCCAGCGGCCCCTCAGGAGGCTTTGCTCCGAATGTGTTACTAAGACGAGCTAAGCATTAACTCGAAGATGACAACGTTCATCGACTTGATGGGACTGGCCTACCTTTTCTTGTCTTCGATTACTTCACTGCGAACGTGTTCAAAGTGAACTAGACAAGTACACATGCTGCTCCGAATGTGCTACCAAAAGAGTTCCCCCCCCACCACGGTCTTACCAAGACGCCCATGAGAGGCCACACACCTTCAATGCAATGTTCCATGGCTCCTGTCCCCTCGCCTTTCCAGCCCGAGACGGGCCAAGACGGGCACGAGACGGCCACAACATAGATTGCGCCATCTGAGCGTCGTGGACTACATCCGCTGGCCACCCCACTCACTTACAATGCTGGGGCCACCGCGTGCGAGAAAGGCGGGCAGTGGCAGCGGGCCCTGTCGTTGCTCGGCAGTATGATGGAGGCGAGCCTGGAGCCCAGCATCATCAGCTACAGCGCCGGGATCAGCGCATGCGAGAAGGCGGGGCAGTGGAGACAGGCATTGCTGCTGCTGGGCGAGCTGCAGGATGCGAGGCTGGAGCCCAACGTCATCAGCTACAGCGCTGCGATTAGCGCGTGCGAGAAAGGAGGACAGTGGCAGATGGCCCTGTCACTGCTCCTCGAGCTCCGAAGCGCGAAGCTCGAGCCCGACGCCATCTATTCCACAGTATCGGGCCCAGCCGCGTGCGAGGAGGTCCTTGCGTGTAGCTTGTGGGGCGCCCCCCCTCCCCTCCTCATCCTCCTTCCTCTGTTCCTGCTCCACCTCCTGCTCCTCCTGGTCCTCATCCTCCTCCCTCCCTCCCTCCTTCCGTTCCTCCTCCTCGTCCTCTTCCTCCTCCTCCTCCTCCTCATCATCGTCATCATCATCCTCAGCATCAGCCGCAGCCTCAGCCTCATCCTCATCCTCATCCCTCCTCTTCCTGGCCCTCCTCCTCCCTCCTCCTTCTCGTCCTCCATCCGTGTTCCCTGTACGTAAACTTCTCCCTGTCGCACCCTGAGACGTGCCCGTAGGGCAGGCTGGGCGTTTCGCCTGAGCCGTCCTCACCGCTTATGTTAAGTAAATTTCGCGTGTGCACTGGTTTCACGGATGGAGGGCGGGTCGTGTTCAAAATGTGGTTCTCGCTATAGCAACACGCGCGCAATCGATTCAAAAGCTTGCGAGAACTGCACGGGTGCAGGGCGGCACCTTTCCAAAATGCGGCTCTCGTGTTAGGTCCGCGCACCTCTGCGTTCAGAGATTATAGTAGTTGTTCGGATTGTTATGGCGGATGTCCCAGACATGCTGTTTAGACAAAATTTCGGACTGTCAGGGCGCAACAGTTGCATTGATTCGTGGCGTCGAAGTTCCAGGAGTGGTATTCTGGCACAGTTCAGGATCGCCGGGACGCAACAGTAGTGTTCAATCGCTGTGCTGAAGTCCCAGCACTGGTGTTCTGGCGAGGTTCAGGATTTCTAGACAGTAGTCCTGCAATGAGACATGTCCCCCAGTGAAGTTAACCTTTGTAGGGACCTGTGAAGACGGAACTTGGAGGGAGGGTTGATTGCAACATCTTTGTTGGGTCTTGGGTTTACACTGGTCCCTCCTCCTCCTGCTCCGTCGTCGATGAGCATCTGTATCAGAACTCCGCCCCCTGCTGCTCCTGCTGCAGATTCGGGGAGTCTGCTCTAGCGGGCCCTACGACCGCCAAAGGGACGACGCGGGATGGGCCCTGGAAGAGATCCAGATTTTTGCAGCCCGCGCGGTGGACAACACAAGACACCACAGCGGGAGAGGAGGACGAGGAGAGGGAGGGAGGAGGAGGAGGACGAGGAGGAGGAGGAGGAGGAAAAGGAGGAGGAGGAGGAGGAGGAGGAGGAGGAGGAGGAGGGGAAGGAAAAGGAAGAGGAGGAGGAGGGATCACAGCACAAGACAGCTTGAACAACACAAGACAGCACAAGACAGCACAGCACGGCGGGAGAGGAGGATGAGGGGAGGGAGGAGGGAGGGAGGGAGGGAGGGAGGGAGGGAGGGAGGGAGGGAGGGAGGGAGGAGGAGGAGGAGGAGGAGGAGGAGGCGGAGGAGGAAGAGGAGGAGGAGGAGGAGGAGGAGGAGGGAGGAGGAGGACAAGAAGGAGGAGGAGGAGGAGGAAAAGAAGGGGAAGGAGAAGGAAAGCAGGAGGAGGAGGAGGAGGAGGAGGCGCACGCCAGCCCAGGCGCGTTCCGCGGCCTCTCCGGCACGGGGGGAGGGGGGGGCCGACCGGTCCCAGGCCATGCCGTGCGAACCGGGCTGCAGAGGCTACGCGCTCGTCTGCACGTAAGACCTTTTGTGCGGGCCCTTGAAGGCTGCGGAATTGTGGGGCGAGAAGTTGGGGGGCAGCCAGAGCTGCAGAAAGAGCCCCATAGGGCCCCTAGAGGTGCCTTTTACGTCCCCGGAGGGGGCTTTTCGAGCCCGCACATCCCCCCCGACAAAATCGCGCCCAAGGCCCACTGGGCCCCCCCGATCGCCGAACGCGATGCGATCGTAGCGTCTTGCGCGCCTGGGTTTGGATCTCCCGCGGACCCATCAAAGTCGAGCACCAAAGGCTACTATTACCCAAGATCGCTCCTGCGTGTAGCCGACGCGCTCGAGTATTGATATGCGCGCAGGACATATGGACCCCCTTCTGGCGGATATTTGGCTGCCGTCGCCGCCCCGTCGCCGCATGTCGTCGCCTCGCCGCCGCCTGTCTGCCAGCCTGACGGCTATGTTGCCGTCGCCGCCGCCCCGTCGCCGTCGCATTGCCGCCCGTCGTCTGGGCACCACGTAGGTCTTCTTTTCTGGAAGAGCATTAGGGTCTACCCCTCGGGGTTAACAGTACACCTTTCCGTATTGCAAGGTGCATACGATTCTGCTTCTTTGCCCATTCTAAATATGAGCGCAGATCATCCCAGCTAAGCAGGTATCACCCCCTCTCATATTCTGCAGAGGTTACTATGCGGGCGCATTCGTTCATCACAAATCATCAGTTTCCAAGAGTCCCTTGCAACAAATGGGATGATATGCGCACGCGCGCGTCGTCGCGTGTGCATGCCGACATCCGTCAAAAACCGTGGCTCTCGTCAGGAGTTCAAGGTCGAGTGTCCAAGACACACACATATATATATATAAACACGACCTCGCAACAAGGATGTTCAAAAAACTTGCTCTCTCGCTCTTGCGAAACCTTAAGAAAACCATCGTTGCTGCTTTTCAGCATGTTCTTAACATGCTACGAAACGGGCTTCGCGCGCATGTCGAAATCGTTCGGACGCCCCTGCGCGCGTGCTGTTGCAATATTCCTTTGCAACAAATGGGACGAAGTGGACGCGCGCGCGTCGTCGCGCGCGCATGGCGACATCCTTCAAAAACCTGAGGTGCCGTGAGGATTTCAAAACCGAGTACCCCGAAACCATATACAAAACATATAGCGTCGCAGCAACAGTTTATAATGATATATACACATATGTGTGTATATATATATATATATATATATATATATATATATATATATATATTATACATTTAAGAAAAACTGCGCTCGCGCTCTTGCGAATCCTAACGCAGCCATGAATAACGGAAAGAACGAGGTACGAGTGATGACGTTTTGGTGTGGGCGAAGCCCTAAAGGGAGGGGTTCCAGGGGAGGGGGGTAGCGGTCGCATTTGCGTGTGAATGGCCGTTTTCGTGTTTTCCCTCGGGTTTTTGCATGTTTTTCGGGTTCCCCCCCAAGACGGCCCAAGAGCGTTCCAAGAGAACCCAAGACCGCCCAAGACGGCCCAAGAGGCCTCCAAGAGGCCCCCAAGAGGCGCCCAAGGAGCGCAAGACGGCCCAAGAGGCTCCCAAGAGACCCCCAAAACGGCCCAAGAGGGCCCCAAGACGGCCCAAGAGGCGCTCAAGACGGCCCAAGAGGGCGCCAAGACGGCCCCAAGAGGGGGACCACGAACCGAAAAGTCTAGCCTTTCGCCCCAAGACGCTCCCAGGAGGCCCCCAGAGCCCCCCAAGAAGCCCCAAGAGGCCCTCAAGAGGCGTCCCAAAGGCGAAAATCATTGATTTCCTATGGGAAAATATACATTTTTAGCAGACAAGGCTTTCCGGCTTTCACTGCGTTGAAGACGCCCCAAAAGGCCCCCCAAACCGCCCCAAATCGTCGTCGGCGTGATCTGCATCGGCGCCCGCACTGGCCACGCCTTCGTCGCTGTCAACATCGCCACCAACATCGCTACTATCACCATCGTGTCTACCGTTGTCGACGTTGCCATGATACCGCGCCCGCCCACGTCGCCGATTCGCAGTGAATCACAGTGAAATGCTCGCTGGGATGTGCTCTGCGGTCAGCGCCACCGCGGCCGCGTCGGTCGCGCCAAACTAGCTGGCCGCTTCGCGCGCGTGCATGGGTTGTGGCGGCCGCAGAGATGCACCAGCCAACACCAAGCCTGCATCGCAATCGCCATCGCATGGGTTTTGCAAACTAAGTTGCGGGTGGGTGGGTGGGATGTTTGCAAGAGCATGGGATGTGCCAGCTCGTTTGCTAAAGCCGATTGCACACCATAGACAGCCCATCGAATATTGCACCACAAAGGTTGCACCACACAGATTGCACCACAGATGTTGTTCCACATAGGTTCTCCTTTCTAACAGAAAATAGATTCTACCACCTTCCCCCCTGGGGTTAAAGATCTCCCGGGAACCGATGCAAAACACAGGATTCTGACCCAATGTCCATCTTACCTGTGAGTTCATATTATCCCAGCCAAACCGGTATCGCCCCCACCCCCATCCCCGGCAAACAACACTATGCGCGCGCACTCGTTGATCAACAATCAAAAACCCTTTTTGCAGAAAGTGGGACGACATGCGCACGCGCGCGTCGTCGCGCGTGCATGCCGGAATCCTTACAAAACCATCGGTTCCGGAAGGGTTTTTGAATCGAATGTCAAAAAAACATACAAACACACAGGGTTTCGCAACATCGATTTTCTGAAAAAGCTTGCGCGCGCGCTTGCGAAATCTTGCGAAAAACATCGGTTTTCAAATATTGTCAAAACAAATACAACCAAACAGGCGTCGCGCGCGCAAGTCGACATTGTTCGAACGCCCTTGCGCGCGTGCCGTCGCGAGAATCTTCTGCAACAAAAACGGGATGAAGTGCACCCGCGCGCGTCGTCGCGCGCGCATGCCGGAATCCTTCAACAAGATTCGGTTTCGGAAGGATTTCAAAATTGAGTATCCAAAAAAACATACAACAACATTTCGTTTCGCAACACGTATTTTCGACAAAAACGTGCGCACTCGCTCTTGCGTCGTCGTCGTCGTCGTCGTCGTCGTCGTCGCCGTCCCTCCTCCCTCGTCGTCGTCGTCGTCGTCGTCGTCGTCGTCCTCTGTCTTTCCTCGTCGTCGTCGTCGTCCTCTTTGGCGTCGTGGTCGTTTCCGTCGTCGTTGTCGCCGTGGTCGTCCTTCCTCCTCCCTCGTCGTCGTCGTCATCGTCGTCCGTTGTCGGCGTCTCGTCGTCGTCCCTCCTATTCTGTCGCCGTCGTCGTCGTCTTCCCTCCTCCCTCGTCGTTGTCGCCGTCGGCGTCGCCGTCTTCCCTCCTTTTTCGTCGTTCGCGTCGTCGCCGTCCTCCCTGCTCCCTCGTCGTTGTCGTTGTCGTCGTTGTCGCCGTCGTCGTCCTCCCTCCTCCCTCGTCGTCGTCGTCTTCGTTGGCGACGTCGTCGTCGTCTTCGTCGTCGTCGTCGTCGGCGTCGTCGTCCTCGTCGTCGTCGTTGTCGGTTCGTCGTCGTCGTCGTCGTCGTCGGCGTTGTCATCGTCGTCGTCGGCGTCGTCGTCTTCGTCGTCGTCGTCGCTGTCGTTGTCGTCGTCGTCGTGGTTGTCGTTGTCGTCGAAGTCGTTGGAGACGTCGTCGGTGTCGTCGTAGTCGGTGTCGGCGGCGTCATCGTTGTCGTCGTCGTTGTAGCTGTCGTCGTCGTCGTCGGTGTCGCTGCCAAGGGCAATTTGGTACCTACCGTCACGGTCTTAAGAGGTCTTGCGACCAAGTTGTGGGTGGGAGAGTGGGATGTTTGCACGAGCAGTGGGGAGGACAGCTTTAAGGTGGGCAAGTGATTGATTCTCCTTTCTAACAAGATTATAGACTCTACCCCCCCTCTGGCGTTGTCCCCCCCCCCCCTTCTGGGTATGTAGATCATTTGATGATTCCGACCACATGTCCATCCCAAATATGAATTTGCACAATCCCAGAGGGGCCGGGATCGGCTTCCCCCGCCATCCTCTGCGAAAAAAATACGATGCGCGCACATTCGTTGATCAACAATCCGAAGTTTGCATGCATCCCTTGCAAAAAATGGGACGATGTGCACACGCGCGCGTCGTCTCGCGCGCATGCCGAAATCCTTCAAAAACCGTTGGTGTCGGAAGGATTTCGCAATCGAGTTCCCAAAAATCATACGACAACACAGGGTTTCGCAACACTGATTTGCTAAAAAAGCTTACGCGCGAGCTCTTGCGAAATCTTAAGAAAACCATCGGTTTTTCAATATTTTCACAACCTGCCACCAAAGGGGCTTCGCGCGCGCATGTCGAAATCTGTCGATCGCCCTTGCGCGTGTGCCGTCGCGAGAATCCTCTGCAACAAAAGGAACGAAGTGCAGACGCGCGCGTCGTCGCGCGCGTATGCCGAAATCCTTTAATACCCATCGGTTTCGGAAGGATTTCAACATCGTGTGTCCAACAAACCTATAAAAACACAAGGTTTCGCAACACGGATTTTCAACAAAAGCTTGCGCGCGCGCTCTTGCGTCGTCGTCATCGTCGTCGTCGTCGTCGCCGTCCTCCCTCCTCCCGCGTCGTCGTCGTCGTCGTCGCCTACGTCGTCCTCTGTCTTTCCTCGTGTTCGTCGTCGTCGTCCTCTTTGGCGTCGTGGTCGTTTCCGTCGTCGTTGTCGCCGTGGTCGTCCTTCCTCCTCCTCCCTCGTCGTCGTCGTCGTCCGTCGTCGGCGTCTCGTCGTCGTCCCTCCTATTTCGTCGTCGTCGTCGTCGTCGTTGTCGTCGTCGTCGTCTTCCCTCCTCCCTCGTCGTTGTCGTCGTCGGCGTCGCCGTCCTTCCTCCTTCTTCGTCGTTCGCGTCGTCGCCGTCCTCCCTCCTCCCTCGTCGTTGTCGTCGTTGTCGTCGTTGTCGCCGTCGTCGTCCTCCCTCCTCCCTCGTCGTCGTCTTCGTTCGTCGTCGTCGTCGTCGTCGTCGTCGTCGGCGTCGGCGTCGTCGTCGTCTTCGTCGTCGTCGTCGTCGTCGTCGTCGTCGTCGTCGTCGTCGTCGTCGTCGTCGGTCGTCGTCGTCGGCGTCGTTGACGTCGTCGTCGTCGTCGGTGTCGTCGTCGTCGTCGGCGTCGTCATCGTCGTGGTCGTTGTCATCGTCGTCGTCGTCGTCGTCGCCGTCGGCGTCGGCGTCGTCGTCGCCGTGGTCGTCGTCGTCGTCGCCGCCGTCGTCGTCGTCGTCGTCGTCGTCGTCGGTGGTCGTCGTCGGCGTCGTTGACGTCGTCGTCGTCGTCGTCGTCGGTGTCGTCGTCGTCGTCGGCGTCGTCATCGTCGTGGTCGTTGTCATCGTCGTGATCGTCGTCGTCGGCGTCGGCGTCGTCGTCGTCGTCGGTGTCGTCGTCGTCGTCGTCGTCGTTGTCGGCGTCGTCGAAGTCGTTGGAGACGTCGTCGGTGTCGTCGTAGTCGTTGTCGGCGGCGTCGTCGTCGTCGTTGTCGCTGTCGTCGTCGGCGTCGCTGTCGTTGCCAAGTGCGATTCGGTACCCACCGTCACGGTCTTAAGAGATTTTGCAAACCAAGTTGCGGGTGGGTGGCTGGGATGTTTGCGAAAGCAGTGGAGTGCACAAGCGCGGTGCAGGGTAGTCAATTCTCCTTTCTGAAAAGATAATAGACTCTACCCCCCCCGGCGTTATCCGCCCCCCTTCCGGGTATGTAAATCATTTACGATTCTGACCACATGCCCATCCTAAATATGAATTTGCACTATCCCAGAGGGGCCGGGATCGGTCCCCCTGAGGTTCCCTGGTAAAAAAAAAAACGATACGCGGGGACACCTTTTATTCTAACATAGCACTTTTTCGCGAATCCCTTGCAAAAAACCTGACGAAGTGCACACGCGCGCGTCGTCGCGCGCGCATGCCGAAACCCTCCAAGAACCTTCGGTGTCGGAAGGATTTCGCAATCGATTTTCCAAAAAACATACAAAAACACAAGGTTTCGCAGCACGGATTTGCTAAAAAAGCTTACGCGCGAGCTCTTGCGAAGTCTTAAGACAGCCATCGGTTTTTCAAGACTTCAGCAACATGCTACCACAGGGACTTCGCGCGCGCATGTCGAAATCTGTCGAACGCCCTTGCGCGTGTGCCGCCGCGAGAATCCTCTGCAAAAAATGGGACGAAGTGCAGACGCGCGCGTCGTCGCGCGCGTATGCCGAAATCCTTCAAAACCCATCGGCTTCGGAAGGATTTCAACATCGTGTGTCCGAAAAACCTACACAAGCACAAGGTTTCGCAACACGGATTCTCAACAAAAGCGTGCGCGCGCGCTTTTGCGTCGTCGTCGTCGTCGTCGTCGTCGCCGTCCTCCCTCCTCCCGCGTCGTCGTCGTCGTCGTCGTCGTCGTCGTCGCCTACGTCGTCCTTTGTCTTTCCTCGTGTTCGTCGTCGTCGTCCTCTTTGGCGTCGTGGTCGTTTCCGTCGTCGTTGTCGCCGTGGTCGTCTTTCCTCCTCCTCCCTCGTCGTCGGCGTCTCGTCGTCGTCCCTCCTATTTCGGCGTCGTCGTCGTCGTTGTCGTCGTCGTCTTCCCTCCTCCCTCGTCGTTTTCGTCGTCGGCGTCGCCGTCTTCCCTCCTTTTTCGTCGTTCGCGTCGTCGCCGTCCCACCACCTCCCTCGTCGTTGTCGTTGTCGTCGTTGTCGCCGTCGTCGTCCTCCCTCCTCCCTCGTCGTCGTCTTCGTTGGCGACGTCGTCGTCGTCTTCGTCGACGTCGTCGGCGTCGGCGTCGTCGTCTTCGTCGTCGTCGACGTCGGCGTCGTCGTCGTCGCCGCCGTGGTCGTCGTCGTCGTCGTCGGCGTCGTTGACGTCGTCGTCGTCGTCGGTGTCGTCGTTGTCGTCGTCGTCGGCGTGGTCATCGTCGTCGTCGTTGTCATCGTCGTCGTCGCCGGCGTCGTCGTCGTCGGTGTCGTCGTCGTCGTCGTCGTCGTCGTCGTCGTCGAAGTCATTGGAGACGTCGTCGGTGTCGTCGTAGTCGTTGTCGGCGGCGTCGTCGTCGTCGTTGTCGCTGTCGTCGTCGGCGTCGCTGTCGTTGCCAAGTGCCATTTGGTACCCACCGTCACGGTCCTACGAGATTTTGCAAACCAAGTTGCGGGTGGGTGGGTGGGATGTTTGCGCGAGCAGTGGAGCTGACAATTTCAAGTTCGGCAAGTGAGTTGCACCACATAGATTGCACCACAAATATTGCACAGCATATGTTGCACAGCATAGATTGCACGACGTAGATTGCACATCATATATTCCACCGCGCGTGTAGCACCACATGCATTGCTCCACATGGATTGCGCCGCATAGACTGTTCCACATATATATATATATATATATATATATATATATCACCACCTGTATTGGTAGATGCACACACGCTGTTTGGGGCTCGCGCTGGCTAACATGGTAATGTCTCGGTTATTCGAACATTCGTTTGTTCTAAGGACGTGTCGAAGTATTCCTATAGGAGTGCTGGGACGGTCGGTTCCTGCTCAAAGGATGCGCCCCTCCCTTTTTCTGTTACAACGCTGGGATCGGCGCGTGCGAGAAGGGCGAGTTGTGGGCGACGGGCTGAGCGCCGAGCGTAGTCCGAGGTCCCCAGAGGTCCCCTGGAGCCCTTGCCCCCCCCCCCCACCCCACCCGCAAAGCACACACACATACACAGACGCACACACATACACATTTATTTTAAGTCAGCGGCGCAGAGGAACCTCAGGCGCGGTCAGCATCTGAAAAAAATGTTTCCTCCCGGTTCCAAAGGCACTCCCTGCTACGACGCTGGCTCAGCCTGCGGTGATAGCAGCCTTAAGGCAGGAGCGTCTAGTTTGAAGAGGGTGCCCATCATTGGCGCTGCTCGCACGCTGAGGTGGGCAGATGAGCCGGAGACGGACTGGACAGGACAAGGGGTGCCCTCAAAGTCGGCAGGTTCTGAAATCCGTAACCAAAACGATGTGAGCTTCGTACAATGTACATTGCAACATGTTTGCACGCGAAGAGTTTACAGTGTTGTGGAGATGTAGGCAAACTAAAGGTTATCAGCCGAATGTCTCTCTTCCGGGTTCGACTTCGGCATGGCGCGAATGCTCAGCACGCCACAGTTGGATTCCGGCGGATCTCTGGAGTGATCGTTGAGTTATTGTGTCATTGTTGTGACCGTTCTTGAGACCAGCAGCAGCGCCGTAGAGGCACCGTACCAGCAGCAGCGCAGCGACAGCCACAGCCACAGCCGCAGGCCGCCGCAACAGCGCAGCCGCAGCAGTCCTACCCAGCTTGTTCGGTCGCCCCAAAAATTTTGGCGTCACATGTGCGTCCTGACAGAGGAGAGTTGCAACGGTCGCCACAAAAAAGGGTATACCCCGATGGACCGAGGTACAGCCCATCCAACCGGGATGTAGACTACTGCCGGAGGGGGTCGCCGCCGGCGGGGCAGTGCAACCAGCGCGGTGTCGCGGCCGCTGCAGGGAAGCCCAGGCGGCGACGGGGCATGGGAGGCGGGAGGGGAGAATCGCACCTAGTCGGCGCACGCGTCACAGCAGGGCGTGGCGGGACAAAAGTTGCCGCGGGGCAGGCGGGAGCATGGGGCGCCCGGCCGCGGGAGCGGCCGCGCAGGAGCGGGAGACGGCGGCGCCCTGGCGGGTGCAGACAGCGCAGCAGGGATGCCACCGGGACGCCGGGACCCGCAGCCGGCCAGGCGTGACGCCCAGCCAGGGCAGCGAGGCAGCGGCGGCGGAGGGAGCTGCGCCAGCAGGGAGCGCGCTGCCAGAGCAGTGGGGCAGAGGGAGAGGCAGACGCAACCGGGTATGTGCGAGCGGCGGGGGCCCAGCCGAAGCAGGCAACCAGCCCGTCCACCCCAAACTCCCGCACGATCCCACCGTCCAGGTCCAGGCGATCATCCCCGGCCACCAGACTACTGACTATTGGCGGACGAACAAGTCGTGACGGCCGTCTGGCCGCCGCGGCTCCTCCCAAGTGCCACGGCGTCAGTGGCGTGATCGCCGTCGAGGGCCAGAGTCGTAGGGAGGGCCATGACCAGGGGAGGCCGCAGCGCTGGTGACCTGCCGTGCGTCGGACCAGCCAGGGGAACGTGCGGGCAGCCACCTCGTTCGATCCGCCATGGTCCTCGCAGGCGCGAAGCCCGCCCCCTGGAACCCTGGGTCCTGGGGCCCACACAGTGTGTAAGGGAGCCAGGAATCACCGTCATAGGGGAACCAGGGACGCGACTGATCGTCGCACGGACAGGTAGCGAGTAGGGGTGCTGCGGGTGCTGTCTTTTCCACGGAACGACCCCCAGGTCCAGACAACACCCCAGGCGACACAGCGTGTCGAGCCTGCAGGCCATCCGGGCCGTTGCCCCCTTCTATTTCCAGGTGCCGAGATGGCTGCAGCACCCCAGACCGCCCCCGACGAGCGTCCCGACCAGTAATCCGAGGAGAGAATCCAGCCGTGGCGACGGGGTCCCCCGAGCTGCACAGGACGGCCATCTGCCACCCCAGCCCGCCCACGGCGCACGCCAGGACCCATAACTCCAGGACGTCTCAGTGCGACCTCCTCAGGCTTCCAGCCGGCCGCTTGGCCGAAACATGTCGTCACAGGTGTGACAGGGACGCGACGGATCGTCACACGGACAGGTTGTGTATAGAGGGGTGTCGGGGCTGCAGTCTTTTCCGTGGAGCGATCTGGGAGGGCCACCCCGGGTCCGGTCCAGACAACACCCGAGGCGACGCCTTGTGCAGAGCCGTCAAATCTGGCGTGCGGCCGTTCTCTCGTGACCGAGCCAGGTACGCGACTGATCGTCGCACACAACTTTTGTATAGGCGGTGTGGCGGGTGCCATCCTTGTCCGCGCCTCGCGCGCAGGGACGAGGCTAAGCAAGTCAAGTACGGAGGCCGAAACCTGAGCCGTTGCGCGCGCGGGCTGGCTCTAGGGGGGCAGCGCATTGCCATCCAGGCGTGGATTGCGGGGACAAGGGAGAGCGCACTGGCCGACCTCCTACATGTGGGGCGCAGTGCGGACGTGACGAGAGCAAGGTGTGCAGAGACTGATCACGACGCCAGGCGGTGGCCTCAGGCGAGACGAGGGGCGCTACCGCCTGGCCTCCGTCGCCTGAGGACGCGAGAGGAGGGGTCGCGGGAGGGAAAGCGTTTCTGAGACGATGCAGCGCCAGAGCCACCGCCAGGAGTGGCGGAAGCGGGGCCCTCCCCGGCAGCGGCAAGGAGTGCGCCCGGCGAAGCAAATAATGCCGGGCTATAACATAAAATGGTTCACCGAGGAATGATGCACGGCAGATTGAAAAACGGCCAGCCTGATTCGGACACGTACACAAACAACAACACACCACAGAGCCACAGCCAAAAGCCTCGATCCTCCAAGAGCTTGGATCCTCGATCCCTGGATCCTCGATGCCTCCTTGTCCGCACCGCCGGACATGCCAGTACGCGCGAGCGCGGCCCTTGGTCTCCGTCTCACCGCTCGTCGCCCGTGTCGCCCTCAACTCCTCCTCGTCACCCTGGGCCAGCCTGAGTTGCTGTTGGCGAGGGGGAGGCGCTGAAATTCGTCTGCTTTGTATGCTGGTTTGGTTTGCAGCTCGTTGAAGTTGAAGCTTGTGGGAGGTTCGGGAAAGGGGCTGGGCCGTTTCCAGAAGTCCATGACAAACTTACCATGGGGAGGTGGTGGGGGTGGGCAGGCGGGCCTGGGATGATAATAAGATTGTTCCAGGCCGTCCCAGAATGCTCAGGAAAGGCCGCGGCGCCCAACACGTCTTCCAGACCTGCCAGCTTTCGGAGATTCCCGATTCATCCTGATCTGATTTTATCTTCGGCTTGCCTTTGTCGTAGGGGGGGGCGAGATTTTCCATTGCTGCTTGAAGGATTCCCAGGCTCTTATCATCTAATCCCTAGAACGGCCCAACACGGCTCCAGGACCCCGCGAGGTCGTTCCAACACGGTCCACGAGGCCTCCAAGAGAACCCCAAGACGCTCCAAGAGTGCCCCGAGACGGTCCCACGACGGTCCAGGACGGCCCCGCGACGGCCCAGGAGGCGCCCAAGACGGCCCAACAGGCACCCAAGACGGCTCCAGGAGCGGCCCAAGACAGCCCGCGACGGCCCAAGAGGCGCCTACGCCAGCCTCCGAAGACCCTAACACGACCCAGAGCCACCCAAAACGCCCGAACAGAACCTCCCGTAGCCCCCAAACGCCCACAAGACGCCGCTGGACTCATTCCCGCGGACCGTTCTCTCCTCCCGAGCTGCTTTGCTCACGGTGTCCTGGGGCCCTGCGAGGGCCCCCAGGGGCTGAACATTCCAAACATGTTTTCGGGCCTCCAAGATGAGGTCAGGGTAGATGGGTTCGGAGGATTGGGCCGATGCGGCTCGATTCGGAGCCCGAGTTTCTTACGCAGACGTCGGTGAAGCACCGCCGACGTCGCCGCTGCATCGCCGATACATGTGGGAGGCCTCTCATGTTCCACCTCGATTCTTTCACGATGCGAGCGGGCGTCTCCCGCCCGCCCGCCTTTACGGGGCGATGTGGGAGGCGAGCGCAAAGCATTTGCCACTTCGTGGCAGCTTACCGTGGACGGAGTCCACGGGTCAGTCCTAGTCAGCTACAGCGCCGGGGTCAGCGCGTGCGAGAAGGAAGGCCAGTGGCAACAGGCCCTTTCGCTGATCGGCGAGGTGCGGGAGGCGAAGTTGGAGCCCACGGTCACCAGCTACAACGCTGGGATTAGCGCGTGCGAGAAGGGCGGGCAGTGGCGGCAGGCCCTGTCACTGCTCCGCGAGATTCGGGCTTCCAAGCTGGAGCCTGACGTCATCGGCCTCTGCGTCGTCCGAGGACCTCCGAGTAAGTACACCGAGCGCTGGTCCTTGCCGGGCCCATCCCGTGTTACGAGCCCGCGCAGGCGCCTTCTTGGCCCACCCAGGGCGGCATGTACAGTCAGGACGCTGGTTTCCGGGCCGTTCTTTACATCTACGGTCAGGAAAGTTGGCTTAGCGTGTCGCCCCGCCGGTTTTGGCGCACCACGCTCCGTTTCGACACGCTGTCCACGTTCCCACTCCCAAGCGTTAACTTCCCGAGCTGTTGCCGACCTCCCGCCCCGCGGAGCGGAGGGACGCGCTGCCCGCGTCCCAGGCGCAGCGCGCCGCCACGCAAGAGTGCATGACCGTAGGTCGGGGAGCCCATTCGTGGCCTGAGGCTCGCCGTGGCCGGAGAGCTCCACTCGTTCATCATGTAGCATGCCTGCTGGCCCCCGGCCCAGGGCGGGCTTGGCCAGGATCGGTGCAGGTGTGCAGCCGGCTTCCGCCGGGTGGCGGAGGGGCAGGTCACCCGCGGGGGCGCGAAGATAATCGCGCTGCGCGCGTTGCGGACTCCCTCCAGGGGGCGACGCGCGGGCGCGAAGAGGAGCGCTCGCCGTGCGGCCCGAGAGGGCCAGAGCCTTTCGGCCCCTTCCCCCGGGCAAGTTTTCCACCCCGAGCCGTTTCTTGATGATCCCGGGGCTCTGGAGCTGAGGGGCCACATGCGATTCCACACAGACAGGCCATTTCGTTTCTTACGAGCAAGTCGGCTCGAAGGCGAAGTCGGGAAACAGAAGGTCGATAGCGAACCAATCTCTATCTCTCTCTCTCTCTCTTCCTCTCTCTCTCTTTCCCCAGGCATGCTCCCCAGGCATCCAGCGCGGCACTTCGAACACATCGAGGTGGCCTGTCTGTATGGAATCGTCTTTTGGCCCTCAACTTCAGGGCTTCAGGGCCTCGGGACCAGCAAGAAACGGCTCAGGGTGGAAATCTTGCCCGGGGGAAGGGGCCGAGAGGTTCTGGCCCTCTCTCGGGGGCCCTCTTTGGTCGTCTTGGGGCCTTCTTTGGCTGTCTTTGGGCCTTATGGGGGGGATTCTATGCGCTTGCTTTTCAGGTTTTCAGAACTTGAATGTTTGAAGCGTCCAACGTTAGATCTGCAGAACTTTCACAAACTTGCATTTTCTCAATTTTAGTTGAGCACCGCAGGATTATTACTAGGGCGGTAATACTCCTTCTCAAACTGCTCTAGAGTACTAGTACCAGATAACGACAACAGGACTACAGCATTATATTAATACAGTACAAGGGTCGTGGAAAGAGAGAAGACCACTGCTACTACTCCTCTTCTTCCTCTTCACAATACTACTACTACTACTACTACTACTACTACTACTACTACTACTACTACTACTACTACTACTACGACTACTACTAACTACTACGACTACTACTACTACTACTGCTACCACTACTACTACTACTACTGCTGCTGCTGCTTCTACTACTAATACTACATACTACTACGTGATTACGACTACTACTACTACTACTACTACTACTACTACTACTCTACTACTACTACTTCTACTACGACTACGACGACTACTACACTACTACTACTACTACTATACTACTACTGTTACTACTACTATTACTACTACTACTAGCTAATACTAATACTACTACCCAACCACCACTACTATACTACTACTACTCCTACTACTACTTACTACTACTACTACTACTACTACTATTATTCTAGTATATTTCTAATTACGACTACTACTATTACTACTCTACTACTACTACTACTACTACTACTACTACTACTACTACTTCTACTACAACTAGCACTACTACTGCTATCATTACTACTACTACTACTACTACCACTACTACTACTACTACTACTACTACTACTACTACTACTACTACTACTACTACTACTACTGCTACTACTACTACGACGACGACTACTACTACTACTACTACTACCACTACTACCACTACTACCACTACTACCACTACTACTACGACTACTACGACGACGACGACGACGACGACGACGACGACGACGACGACGACGACGACGACGACGACGACGACGACGACGACTACTACTACTACTACTACTGTGGTCACACTTGACTTATGGACCGGGAAGATCGGGTTTGGGTTTGGGTTTGGGTTTGGCTTCAAGGAAACCTTCTAATTGCAATTCAATGCGAACTTGAATAGAAAGACCTCCTAAGAGTTCA